ATACAACAATGCTAAGACTCCTTTTCAGATTTGCTCCTTCTTCCCCATGAAACATCTATCGTCTTTACCTCTAGTCCTTTGGGGAAGACACTTTACAATAATTTCCTACTCGGAGATGGACGTTAAACTCGGAGGTCCCGCCTCTTGAATAAAACAAAACGAACAGTGTTGATAAGGACGTTAAATCAATACCTTTTCCTACCATAGTCCATCTTTTCTTTGTACGTTAGCTTCCATCATAACCTGTAAATCTTTGGACTTATATGGCCTAATTGTGTTGCAAGTGCCATAAAATCTGTGTTAAAACTGTCATGTTTCCGTGGTTCCTTTTTTCCCCTCCTATCTCAGACTCATGACCCCCGAGCAAAAAGCCCGCCTGGACGCGACACTGCAGTCCATCGGTCAGAGCGTCAACACCAATCTGAACCAGGTCTTCACCGGGCTGGACAATGTCTTCGGTCCCGGGGGGAATCTCTTCGGACGCCGTGGACTTGTCTCCAACTGGCGCAACGCAGCCAACCGCGGAGTCAATGGCAAGAAATGATCCTTTAGAAAACATCTATGATTATAATATCGTACTGTTGCTTTCCTATTTTGCAGCTAACGGCGTTTGTGCTGTTTGTTTGTTTATTTACTTCTTTTTTGTGTGTTTGTTTTTACCTGCATGTCTAGCTTTTGGTCACAAATACGGTGGTTTCTTGATAACCTGCATACACAGAAAAATTTACATAATGATAATGATGATGATGACAATAACAACAATAAACTATTTGGTCTTGAAGCATGCCATGTGGTGTACACCAGCTTGACTAACATTATGGTTACTTCAATTTGCATGTGTGAAGTTTGGCCTTAATAAAAAGCGTTTCGACCACATGAGAAGCGTTGGGTCTATGTGCATGGCGTGCCAATAACATACTCAGCTAATTCCAGGAGTTTCCAATTTGTTTCCTTCTTCCCTTTCAGCTAAATGTCTTAATTATTCTAACTGTCTATACTAACAACATAACTAATACTAAATTTATTGCTAATACATGTGTACATGGGAAGTCTGGTCAAGATTCTTCGGACGTCGAATGAGAACTGTTCATCAGTGTATGTTAAGTGCAGAATGAGAAATCATGAATAACCATAAGAAAAGGAACTTGGTTTTTCGGTTTTGAGATGTTTCTCAGAGAGAAGGAAAACAATTGACGAGTCAATTTTCTTTCGGTTAACCGCTGCTTTCGGATTAACCCTGCTCGGTTTAAATGGAATCCACTGTATTGCATTTGCTTTAAATTTGAGTATATCGGGTGTTATGCCCTGCTATCCGTAAACGAATGAAGAAGGAACAAAATAGCAGCTAAGGCAGGAGCGACGCACAGAAGTAAATCTCACAAAATAACTATGTATGTAATAAAGACGTAGCCTAAACAAGTTTTAAGCCTCCATCGCCGGTACTTGGATTATACAGGGGGCGAGCTTGTTCCACACAGCCTGTCAAGGCCAACCTGGACTGGAAGGTGTACAACGTCTCAGCAGAAAGACGGAGATGCTACTCACACAGAGATCGAACTCGCGTCATCTGCGTGTACGGTGAAGCGCCTAACTCTTGGCTATCTTAATCTTAATTAACCTAACCGTCACCAGTACACCCCAGACTTTGGTATATGTCAACCTGATGCTCATGATAATATGTCCATCTGAGCAAAGATGTTTTTATATACAATGGGTTTTTTAAAACATATATACCCACAATGACTTGACAATTAAGTCTGTTCATCGAACAGGGTGCTCAGCTAGTATAATATAAGGCTACCCCCCTCCCCTCTTCCAAAATCACACACACATAAGAAGTACACACTCAAACATGCACGCACACGTGCGTGCGCACACAAACACACACACACATACACACACAAAGCAAATGTGTATATATAATATGTATATTATACATAATATACATGTAACCTATCCATTTTCATTTTTCAACCCACTTAACAAAAAAGCTCATGGAAAAGACTAGCATTGACTTAATGCTCATCAACGTGTCTCCTATAAGTTCTTAATATTAGACACATAAATTCACCAGAGGGTGTACAAACACACACACACACACACACACACACACACACACACACACACACACACACACACACACAACCCCACCCCACCCCACCCCACCCCCACACACATATTCACAGAGAGAGAGAGGGAGAGAGACACACGGAGAGAGAGGGAGGGAGAGAGAGACACAGAGAGAGAGGGAGAGAGAGAGACAGAGAGAGAGAGAGAGAGAGAGAGAGAGAGAGAGAGAGAGAGAGAGAGAGAGAGAGAGAGAGAGAGAGAGAGAGAGAGAGAGAGATCTGGTTGGAGCTTCATAAGATTCTTCGTGTTCATAATGCAAAATAATACTTCATGCTGCTCTGGAATTGAGTAAACCGTTTTGAATAACCCTGTATGCATGTCTGTGCATGAACTGGTTCCCGGTAATAAAAGCATGGTCACTAATCACTAATACAAATGCATATACCTCGTGTTAGATGGTTTGAAATCGTTAACCTGTAGACTTATATTGACTCGGTGAGCCTTATTGCTGATCTCGGGTGTTGTTGAATGATGATTTGATCCCATTCAAGTACGTGTATCTAACCATTTCCTATGCACATGCTGAACACATTGATAACACAAGACATTGTATATATACAGAAGAATCTAAAGAGATGAAAATTTCAGTAGCACCTTTCCTTAAGTAAAATACTTCTTATCACCCCCCCTCCCCCTCCCTTGTTTTACGCACACAAGAAGTTCACTTAGTCATACTGGAATGCACATTATAAAAATCAACATACAGTGTACAAATTATGTCAAATTAAAAGAGTACACGTTCATGTTCCAAAGGGAACACCACCCTCCACCCCCCATCTTCCTACCACTGTAACTGAAGTACCTGGAGCCTCATTCGCAATAAGGGATTCCCTCGCGTTGATGATGCGTAAGAGGCATAACATTATCATATTATGATCGTCTTAATCGATATCTTGTTATTTATAAAAATAAATTGTGACAAATTAGCTGAAGTAACTTTTTCCCTGCCCCTACAAACCTAAAACAAAATTCACTCCAAGACTAATTTTTCCTTGCATGATGTACATTTTATGCAAAAGATGTGTATACGTGCATGTAAATATACACTATAACACGGATAACTCGAATTCGTTGGGACCGGCCTTGGTAGTTCGAGGGATCCGTAGTTCGAGGGATACGTGAACAGTGTTATGGCATCGGCTGTGTCAGAAAATCAAGGGAAGCAACAAAGATTGGGTCGGAACATATTTTTCTTTTTTCCATCATAATCCGTGATCAGATAGGTTAGGTCTATGCCTATTGTCTTGAATTTGAAATTTGAGAGAATATGACACTGACAGATTGAAAATGAGAAACACGATGAGCAACGTTTCGAGTTTGATCGTTAATGAGCCTACCGGTACCAAGACAGTTTAATTGCGCAGGTCAGTGTGAACGGTCTTTAGTCAGCACCAATCGAAGGTGCCTTTTCAAATTTGTCAAAACATAAACAAGTTGACAAGATCGCAACAGTAATAAAGAACGCGATGACGAAACCATGCAGCCCTACCCCGCCTCTCCCACCAAACGCGCAGTCCTTTGCAAAGAGATGTGGCCCATCGTGTGATGCACAACCCTTCGTCTCGCCCGCTCCATACAAGCTTTGCTAGGTCGTAGACCTAGGCACGCATGTCGAGCAGTGCGCAAAAAAAAAAGCACAGCTATCTTCTTCTGTGGAAAAGGGGGAGGGGGGGTATTTTACCGACCTCGCCTTTTTCCGTTTATAAAAATTATTATTGTTCTTTTGTCTCAAGTGTACCTCAAAGGATATTGACTTCAGACCTTTACGGAGGAGTAATTAGTTCGACTATTCCGTGTTTGTGTTCGAGCTTCACGTAATTTTTTTTACAAAGATAAAGAAGAAGAAAAAACGGGACCGCAGTCACAGTTCGGCGGATGCGTGATTTCGAGTTATATGTGTTCGACCTATCCGGGTTATACTGTACACACAAGTAGAATTATTTTGTCGAAAAACAAAAACAAACAAAAATTAATACAAAACTTCAAAACAGTAAACCACGGTGTAAACATTTCAAACTCTAACGCAACAATTAAATTTATATTTCTAAAAAGATAACAAGCAAAAAAAAATCGGAAAAACTGTATATAATGTAATTTCTATGATTAAAAATCCTTTCCCAACCCAGACTGGCGACAGCGAAGACCTGCTAACACAATCCAAGGCCTTCTGAACGCCCTCGCCTCGCCTCAGGTCAACCCGTTCTACGAGTTCTTCAACCCTTCCTTCTGGGGCAGCCTCTTCCCCCAGCTGATGCCCAGAGCAACCACACCCGCCTCAGCAGCCTCCCCCACCACCACCAGCAACAGGGGCATCTTTGGCTGGCCCACAACCAGCAGCTACACCAGCACCACCAGAACCAACACAGCAGTCACATCTCCGCAGTCGCCCCCAACATCTGCACCATTAAACCCTTATTAATTGATTCATTAAAAGGAGAAGGTTTTTGTCGCCTAATACAACCTGCACCCGTCTGAACTAGAGCGCCTGTGTCAGTCAAGTGCTTCGACTTTAAGTTTAAGGAAATAATTACAGTGCAGCCTGTCTATAACGACCTTCGATGTAACGACATCCTCTGTATAGCGACATGATGCCCGGGTCCCGATTTTTTTCCTTACTTATGTACATTATAATTAGTAACTTTTGTTTGCCTCTCTATAACAACATGTCTCTATAACGACATTTTTTTCTTGTCCCGACGATGTCGTTATAGATATAAAGAGGCTGCACTGTTTCTTACTGAAAATCAAAAAAAGATTCTTTGAAAGAACACTGATGATCGTGATATGTTAGTCTGGGCAGTAATCAATGGAATTAATTGATGAAACGTAAATTCAAGTGCTTCACGGAAATTAACGTACAGAAATTCAAAATCGGATGAAGAAATGCCAATGGTAGGTTTCTTAGTAATAGGCTAGGCGATAAAGTTAATTGATGACGCCTAAATGAAGATGTGCTGTTTTTCTGGTGGTCGTTTCGATAAATGTTATCACCGTAAAGAACACTAACCAGTAAAGGATCAGCATCTGTGGTGCAGCGGTTAGACACTTCGCCATTACATGCTGAAGAAGAGTTCGATTCCTGTGTCTGGAGATTTTTTTCCGAGTATCTCCGTATAAAAATTTCTCCTGGGAGGTTGTATTCCTCTCAGCCAGGTTTAGGCCTGACATGCAAGGTCAAAGCTCGGCTGGTAAATTATGTAAATTGTGTCGATGGGTGTCGTAAAACATCGACATAGAAAAACAATAGGCCTAATAAAGTAAAGAGAAAAAACCAAAGTAGAAAAAATTTCGTCTGGGAAAACTTTTAACAAAATATTGTTTAGGTGAACCCAAAAGTTTTCGACATCGTGTTCCCCTTTGAGGCTTATCAAGCAAAACAGGGGAGAAACTGGGAAAACAGACAAACAGACAGTGTATCATTAGCAAACAGAGAGTGGAACAGATACACTGTACATATAGCCTTCTACGCACTATGGGGGTTTAGGCAAGGACAAGAAATAGAAAGCAAACATCGATCTTTACGAAAAAAAATCTCCTGACTCAGGAATCTTCTTCTTCTGCGTGTGATGGCGAAGTGTCTAACCGCTATACTTTGTCTTTTCAAAGACAAGCTGCATGAACATTGAAATAAAAGTGAATAGTGCGTCATAACCGCAAACGTCGGGGTTGTTTTGTTTTTTTAAGGCGGTTTAAACTGAATCCAGACCTTAGCCAAATTCACAGACATAATCCCTGAAACATTTCGTTATGAAACTCTGGCTGCGACTAACGCGCGGTTACGTTGTACCTCACAACCTGCTGTAGATGAGTTAGGAGAATGGCAGTAATGCTTGATTTGGTCATGAAAATAATTTTAAAGGTAAACTGAACCTAAGAAAGCGAAATTACAGTTTGGCTTTAACGGTAGGCCTGTAGTACGTTGGTGTCTGTCCAGGAAAAGACAGGTTCATTGAAAGGGCGATAACTGCCATCGTTGTACCAATTTCAATTTTTTAAATTTGAAACAGGCGCTCATAATAATAATGCTGTTGCAAGCGCTGAAAGAATCTTACCGAAATAAATTTTAAAAAACAAAATATTGAACAGATATAATTCCACCAAGGGGATGTATAATTTGTCAATATAAAAAAGAATCAGTTTCTGTGTTCCAGAAATACCTTTTTTTTTCAATTTTTGTCCTAAATCGAGTAGAACTACTAGAACGCAAAACTTCAAGTTTTAAAAACGAACCATAATGTAGATATAATTTGTGCATTAATATAACGACAGTTTAAACTGACATTGGCAAACAAATTCCGTGAAGATAATGGCTATTTAAAGTATACTCCAGTACTCAAGATGTTGACCATTTCTCACTAGAAAAGAACGAATACGCCACAGGAAATTTTGAATAGATCGTTCTATGTGTATAACCATGTGGCATGTTTCTGGGTCGATTCTTTGGACCTCCTGCTCAACATGAAGTTTTAATCTATCGATTGTTCGTGGGCTGTCTTTTTCTATGTCTTTCAAAGCTCCCAGGGGAAATAATTGCTCTTTGAACGGGCCACCGTTTGTTTGCTTTTTTAACACTATCTACGGAAGAAATGCAAGTCTAAATAAAATTATCCTTGACCGTACTACTGTACAGATTAAGTTATGGTTGATTCTGAAGTTGTCAAATTTTGCACTTCACTCAATTTTGGTTGAAACCTTTGAAACTTGATTCTTTTTTAAACACATCAATTAACTGATATCAAATGTCATGTCCTCTTGGTTGAATTTCATTCGTTCGAAGTTATGTTGCAATTGGTGTAAAATATAATGACCTAGTTATTGCCATTTACCTGGATCCCTTTATTTTAGTTTTAAACACACCCAGAACCAGAGCTCACAATGACGGCTTATACATATGTAAATAACCCCCCCCCCCCCTCTCGTTTTCTTTTCTTGATCAGCAATTAACGATTACATATAGGCTAAAAGATCATTCTAGTCTTCTTTTCTGCTGCATTTTTTGTTTAATTCATTTCCTAGAATACAACTTGGCGTGTACGAATTCAGCTACGGTTTGAGTACCCAATACATACATAGCCAACAAAGAATTTAAAAAATACATAGGCCTACTCTTCTTTTCGTTGTTTGTTTGTTGTTGTTGTTGTTTCTTTTTTGTTCCATTGATTTTTCATTAGTTGAAATTCAAGTTAAAAAGCCTGTTTTTGTTTGTTTTCAGTTTTTTGTTGTTGTTTATTTGTTTTTGTGTTGTTGTTGTTGTTTGTTTTTGTGTTTTTTTTGGGGGGGAGTATGCATACAGATCAGCGCTATTCCTTGATCATTTAAAGTTGTTTCTTATTCTAAATGTAGATGTTTTACGCATCCCCCTACCCCCCC